ATGCGGGATCCCTGAAGAAATCAAGAAATTCTAAAGAAAATCTTCCTGCTCGCCCAGCGCTGCCTCTCTCCTGCAGCAGGGCTTCAACTTTTTAGTCTGCTCTGTACACGCCTGGGCCCCCCAGCCCCCAGCCCCAGCCGGGCACCTTCAAGCCGACCTGGCTCCGTGTCACCTCTCCACCTCCCCCGGGATTGTCCCCTTCCCCTGCGGAGCCCGAGCAGGGAGAGGGGCCGGGGTCAGAGCAGGGTGCCTGGGCTCATCCCCGCACGCACGCGAGGGCAGGGAGGATGAGGTCGTGGCTCGGGGACCGCGCTCCCTTCCAGCCTTATGGCTGACGTATATCGCGTGTCCATAAAGCGCCGTGTAAGCGTGGGCAGCATCCGTGGCAGGACCCCCCCCGGGTGCTGGTGCGCAGTTCAGGACACGTCCCCACGGGCACGACCTCCGGCAGATCCCCGGGCAGGAGCTGTTGGGTCTGTGGCCCCCGCGATGGCGATCCAGAGCCGAGCTCCGGCGCTGAGCACGGCCTGACCCACCCCACGGCAGGGACCGATCCTGCCGAGGCCTGTGCCCTGCGTGTCCCCGGGTGCGTGGCCAGGAGTGCGTGCCACAGCCGGGGATGGCACGGGGTGGGCGGTGAAGGAGGGACAGGGAAGCTCTGGCCGAGCGAGCTGATGTGCTAAATCACCAGCCAGCTGCAACAACACCGGGAGTTTGTCTTAACTGAGGCAGCGCCTGTCCGCACCTCGGCACCCGATGGGCTCCTCTCCTTTTTCACCCTCTTCTTCCCACCTTTTGGTGGGTCTCTGCTGCACGAGGGTAAAGCCTTGGAGCCGGGATCGCCAGCTCCCGCCGCAGCCTGGGCACATGCAGCAGAGCCGGGCTCAGCCCCGGGGGGGCCGGGAAGGGGCAGGGGGGGACGTGACCTTCACGCTCCAGATTGAAAAGTCAGAAGGACTGGAAAGAGGCTTGCTCCATGCTTCAAAGCCACGGCTGAAACAATGCGAGTGGCAGGAATATAAATGAGGAGTAAAGCTGCAAACTCAACTGAGTTAGACCTTGCAAAATCCATCTTAGAAAGTACAGATTCTGACCTGAGAAATGGATATTGCTTAAGATGCTTTAAATCACAGAGAATGATGCACCAGGAGAGACGGCCCTCCCCAGATGACCTAATAAGTCTTTTCCTCCCTGTCCTCAGCGACTCCAATAAACTCCTGACCTTGCCGACCAATAAAGATGAACTCAAAGGAGACGGGAAGTCTGACTTCACCTTCAGCATCTTGTCAGAAGACACGAGAAGCTCTGCTCAGTTCAGAAACGATTACTAATGCCAACCTCTTACTGCCATTCTATCAGCTAGCAACTGTTTTTTTTTTTTGTCCATGGTACAGGCTTCTGCCTTCAGAGCTCAGCTGACCGCCGAGCGCACTTCAGGAAGCAATAAGCTGGTGACACCTCTGCGGGGATAGTTTTGTCCTGATAAAAGCTGCTGGTGAATCAACAGGAAGCTGAAATCTCTGTTTCTCATAATTGAGCATCTTTCCCCCTTGTCCATTTGTCGGCAATTTATGGGGAATGACTACTGCAGAGATTTAGCTGTGTTTAGTCATAGGATGATTTTGTCTCTTCCTAGCAAAGAGCTAAGTATAGCGCAGACTCATTATTCAGCGGCCGTCAGTGATAACTGGCGTTGGCATCCTTCCCGGGGCCCAGCGCGAGCGGCCGGGTCCTCCTTGGAGCCGCTTTTCTCTTGCCTTTGCCTCGCCCCGCCCGCACCTCGCTCTGCCTCGCAGCCCGCCGGGACGCCGGGGCACGTCTCGTCCTCCGAGACAACATTCATCCTTCTTTATTCCTGACGACGGGCTGAATCCTTCAGAAACCCAGAAACCAGGGCAGCCGCCACCCAGCTTGGCCGAGCTTCCCGTCTCGGAGAGCGGCCGCTCTCAGGTGCTTCTCAAGGGGTTTCTGAGCATCACAAATAATCTGCCCTCGATACGGCTCCTCGCTCTGGCTACGCTTGGTTATTGCTTGTCATGATTTATTTGTGTGATCGTTAATTACAGCGATTCCAGGTGCGTTTTACTGTAAATATAAGCATCTAGGATGTTTTAAAACCTCATTCTAATCTTGGTTTCATTATCTTCCAATATTAAGAAGTCACAGAGCCTAATTAGACACTGTGTCAGGCATTGTTTCCACGCTGATGAAAAGCCTTTGCTGCATGGGCAGAGCCTGGTCACTGCCCTGGCACCCAGAGCCTGCTGGTGCACAGCTTTACAACTGCTATTTAAAATTGAAAACAAGAAACAAACAAATGAAAAAAAAAAAAAAAAAAAAAACAAAAAAAAAAAACATCATTTGGACATGTAAGGTGTCCCTGGGAGCGCGGGGGCTGTGGGGACCGGCCACAGCTGTCCCTGGGGCAGAGCCACCGCTCCCCGCTGGGTGCTGGCCCGTCACCCCGCGCCTCGTGGCTCCCAGAAAGCCCTTTGGAAGTTCTTTCCTATTTCCCAGGCCGGCATGTGCGTGTGTGCATTGGGAAAGTGAGATAATGTCACCCCATTGCCATTTCAAATGTCTCCTCCTGGGGCTGCCAAGCGCTTCGTGGCACGGGTTTGAAAAACAATATCCCTGCCCTGCTCCCCCTGCTCGCTCCCAAAATGCCCCTGGAAGGTCAGTTCGAACGCCCTCCCCAGAGGGACTTGATCCCAGAATTTCTCTTCTGCTTTTGCTTTTTAACCCCGATTTTTTGGAGGATGGTTAAACACCTCTTCTAAACAAATACAGACATCGCTCTGCGCGTCCGGGCCCGCTCCCGCTCCCCCGGGGGGGTCGCCAGCCTCCGATGCCCTTGGCCTGTCCACTGTACCAGAGCAGCAGCACCTACGTGGCCCCATCCCCAATATTTCTCTGGAACAGAGGGAATCCTTTTCCCTGGGCTGGATTCCTGGATTCCAGACCCAGCACCGGGCTGCAGGGCAGAGCCCAGCGGTCACCAGCTGCAGAATGATGTCGTCACCGGGTGGTTTTGAGGCATAACTGGGGAATTTAGCACCCCAGGTGCCCCTGAGGTGACATCTCAGCAGGGACCCGGGCACACATCCCCTGGCTGGAAGCAGCGGGATGTCCTTATTTTCTCGTGCAGACAGAGGAGCGGTTGAGGCAGCAAAGCAGAGCGTGGCTGGAGCCCGAGATGGGAAATCGAGGCACCCACGTCACGTCCCCGGCCTCCTCCCATCAGGGTACCACCTTTCACCACCATTCACTCATTTTCCTTTCCACGCGGCTGCTGTGAATTGTATTCCTTCATTTTGGAAAAGTCTATCCAGGTGCTGGGGACAAAACGCAGTGTGAGCTCTAATAAATCCTGCCGGGGTCAGATGAGCAAAAAGGACACAATTAATTGTGAAGCACGCTCAGAAACTGTGCACGGGTGAAAATGAGCCTGGGGTCCCTGTTTCCCTTCTCTGCAGGAATGTATCTCAGAAAAAATGTACCAGCATGTGAGATGTTAAGTCGACACAAGAGTTTAGGATTTTTTTTTGCAAACTACAGTAGTGAAGAGACATTTCAGGCCTGAGCTGGGGCTGTGCTCCCCGCTCCTGGTGTCTCTGATCACAGAACACGAGGAGGCAGTTGGATCCTGGTGTCTGTTGTTTCAGCACGGGTTTTGCCTGGACTCAGGCACGATGAGGAAGGGAGAATGGCGGGGGAACGGGAGAGGGGGGACCCGAGGGGGGAGAGCTGGGAGCGGGAGCACATGGAGCCCTCCCACCCTCCCCAGCACAAAGGGGCTTTGTGTGGGACCCCCTGGCCGAAGCAGGAGCCGGCAAGGGTGGCTGGTGAAAGCTGTAAAGACCTTGCCATTTCATGTAAAAAAAAAAAAAAAAAAAAAAAAAAAAAAGGTAATAGATTGTCATTCAACACTTAGTGTACATTGAAATAGCAAGGGAAGTGTGGTGCCGGACAGTTTCTTCTGGTAAAAACAATCCACGTCTGTCTTCTGTTGTAAACTGCCCCAGCACATTCCGGTCTGTTCGGGAAATCCGTTTCCCTGCACTTGGTGTCGGAGCCTGGGATGGCGGGACAGAGGGACAGAGGGACAGCCAGACAGGGGGGTAGTGGGGGAGCAGGACAGAGGGACAGCAGGACAGTGGGACAGCCAGACAGTGGGACAACTGGACAGTGGGGTAGTGGGGGGAGCAGGACAGAGGGACAGTGGGACAGCAGGACAGTGGGACAGCCAGACAGTGGGACAACTGGACAGTGGGGTAGTGGGGGGAGCAGGACAGAGGGACAGTGGGACAGCAGGACAGTGGGACAGCCAGACAGTGGGACAACTGGACAGTGGGGTAGTGGGGGGAGCAGGACAGAGGGACAGTGGGACAGCAGGACAGTGGGACAGCCAGACAGTGGGATAGCAGGAGAGCAGGACAGAGGGGCAGTGGGACAGCCGGACAGTGGGATAGTGGAAGAGCAGGACAGCGGGACAGAAGGACAGCGGGACAGCCGGACAGCAGGACAGCCCCGAGCCCAGCCAAGAAAGGCGACTTGGCCGGAGAGCTGCCCGCTCCCTCCCCCCGCACAGGCTCGGGCCCCTCCTCGCCCCTCCCCGCCACCGCCGCTCCGGGCCGGGAGCGCTTCAAAACATTTTTTTTTGCTGTTGTTAATTTTTTTTTTTTAATTTTTTTTTTTTTTTTCCCCTTCGCCCTCTTTTCCCGGGCGGCGCGGAGCGGTGCGGCTGCCAGCGCGCCCCGCCCCGCCGCACGCCATTGGCCAGGAAAGTTCCCTGCCGGCGTCGGATTGGCTGCGCGCCGCTGGGGAGGGGGGGGGGCAGCCGCGGCCGCCAATGAAAAGAGCCGCTGGGGCGCGGAGCCGCGGGCGCGGCGCGGGCGGGAGCCGGGCAGAAGGTGAGTCCGCGCCGGGACGGACGGACGGACGGACGGACGGACGGACGGACGGACGGACGGACGGACGGACGGACGGACGGACGGACGGACCGACCGACCGACCGACCGACCGACCGACCGACCGACCGACCGACCGACCGACCGACCGACCGACCGACCGACCGACCTGGGCGCTCCGAGCGCTGCCTTCCCCTCGTCCCGCCTCTCCGGGTGCCCCTTGCCCGCTGGGCGCAGCGCGGTACCGGGGAGCGGCTGCGCGTTGGGCTCTGTGCGGGACGGGGCGGGGGGCACGCACCGGCGGGGCTGCAAAACTTGGTTTATTTGTTTGGTTTTTTGGTTTTTTTCCCCCTCATATTCCCTCTCTCCCGCCCCGCGGCAGCCTGCGCCGTACCCACGTCTCTCGGGACACGCGGGGAGGTGCTGAGCCCGGATGCGGAGCTCCCGCCTCACGCCGGGTGTTGCGGGCGCGCATCGCTCCCGTTTCTTTCCTTTTATCTACATGGTCTGACTCAAAATTTCCCGCAGTCATCGGGAGCGAAGCTCCCCAAGTTGTTATCCTGGTTTCGTGTGAGGAACTGGAGCAGCAGTTGCAAATGGGAGGGAATGGCCCAGAGCGCGGGTATTATGTGAGTTATTAAACACGCAGGGTTAGGAGGAGGCAAAAGTCACCTCTGAAGTATTTAAATTTCCCCGACAGGGCGAATGTGGCTGCGCAGGCACCCGCCGGCTCTGCCCCGCCACGCATCTGGGCTCGTTCCTAGTTCTGCATGGGAAATCTCCTTCGGCAAAGCTTTTGCTGGGAAAGCAACTCTTTCTTGCCTAAATTAACTTGCAAAAGACTCGGAGCGCCGCTGCCCTGAGCTGGTGTCCCCGGGAGGAGCTGCCTGTCCCCTGTTAGACCCACGGGGAAGCGTCTCCTCCCCTTCACGGGCTGCCCAGGACTCGCTTTCCCCAGGAAACCCCGGGTCTCGGCCACAGCGTCTTTTGATGAGCAAAAGAACCAGAATAGCTGAAATGCCCTCTGACATGGCTCTGAGCTGAGTGGAAGGGGTTTTAATCACTAAATAAAAATGGTTTGCCGGGGAGCAGCTGCTCCTGCGACCTTCCTTGCTGTACCTTTGTCACGGCATAATTAGGAGATGAGTTAAACACTTAATGGCAGCGCTTCTCGGTTTCCACGCTGTTGTAATCCCGTCTCTTGATGCCAGGTGGCCCCGACTGGGCAATGTCGAGTGTCGTGCCCCGGGACCGGCCCCCACGGCTCTGCCAGGACCCCGGGACACCTCCGGACCTGCCCGCTGCAGGATGGCACCCTTGGCCATGAGCTTCCACAAGAAGTTTTGTGCCAGTGCTGTCCTTGGAGAGATCCCTGGCTGGCTGGCAGGCCGGGTCAGCCTGTCTCTGCCTTGGAGGTGTAGCTCCCTCAAGTCCCCTTGGGTTTGAACTGTGTGCCCCTGCTGAAGCCCAAGGAAAATGATTTGCTGGATTTTGTGGAAAGCTGGCTGCTCCGGGGAAGTGTTGGTGTGTGGCAGCGGGGGTCAGTGCCTGGGTGGCAGGCCCCTCCCTGCAGCGGGATGCTCCTGCTCTCTGTGTCCTGCCTGAAATACCTGATTTTGGGGCAGGAGTGAGGGGTTCTTCCCTCCCTCCCTCCCTCCCTCCCTCCCTCCCTCCCTCCCTCCCTCCCTCCCTCCCTCCCTCCCTCCCTCCATCCTTCCAGCTCTGCTGACCCCGTTGGCTACCACCACAGGGACCCTGTCTGTGCTTGCTGGTGAGGGCAGCCCCCCCCCAGTGTGACACCACGGGGTCACCCTGTCCCCGAGGGTGTGCGGGGGGGGTGGCCATGGCTCAGCAAGGACCTGCTGGGAAGGTTGTCTCTACTGTGTCATCCCCAGAGGCTCAGAGCAGTGTGTCCTCTGCCAGCGGGTCCCTGGTGCTGATAATCCTCGGGCACGTCCATAGGGTCCTGGTTGCCCCAGCTTCTGTGGGGAGGGCACCTTTGGGTGCCGGCTGGAGGCCCTGGGGGAGCTCTCACCAGGCATTGGGTGGAGATGGGTCTCACGGGAGGGAAAACTGACCCTTTTCCACGAGCAGCGTGCTGGGCTGCGGTCTGTCTCCTTTTGTCAGACAGCAGCTCAATTCCTGCCTCATCCAGCGCGCTGCTCACGGGGCCTGGGGGGGGGGGGGTGAAACCCCCCGCCAACAGCCCCAGTCTGTGGGTCCCTGGGAGTGGAGCAGCAGGGCAAGACCTGGGCAGCAAGGAGGGCTGAGCAAATCTGCGCCGTGAAGCAGCAATCCACCCCAGCAAAGCCATCTCTGCGCTGGACCCATCTCCCGGGAGCTTCTCGAGCATCACCCGCGGGGGACGGGGCCGTGAGGCTGCACAGGGGCACATCGGGGGCTTACAACACACCCCGAAAGGCTTGTGAGTGCAGAAACCAGCAGAGCCTTTCCAAAACATGCAGCTGGATACTTAGCTCCCCGTGGTGGAAAAGCAAAGGACAAGATGTCATCTTTAATTTCCCTTAAATCCGTGAAGGGGATAGCAGAAACGGTCTGGAGGGGAAGGGCACAGTTCTGTGGGGTGTAACAGCCCTGCGTGGGGCGAGGGGGGTACAGGGCCCTGGGGCTGCCCATCTCCTGTCACCTGAACTGGAACCGGGCATGGTGGTATAAAAAAGGAAAAGTCCCGACTAGTTTGCACTTCAAAAGAGATGTGAAATGACATAATAAAAACAAGGGGGGGAAAAAAAAAAAATACAGACCCTGGATCCCTGTCTGAATAATATATGTCCAAAGACAAATGGGCGTCTTCGCAGTAGACGGCTGTTTAATTTCCTGAATCGGGAGAAGGGCACTTTTTCTGGGCATGGGGTGGAATACTGTCAACTTTTAATTTGGCTTGGCAGTGTCGCACAACCAGTTTGAGCAAGTCGGGGAAGGCAAGTCTGGAACTCATTAGGGCTTGTTGCAAGGCTCTGAAAATTTGATTTTCAATCACTGTTGGGTTTAATTATTGTTGATGTCTTGCCTAGCGTATTATGGGATTCTTTCTGAGGAAATTAAAACAGCATGAGTGGGACAGCATTCTGTTTGGCAAATGGGTTGTTTAGATTAAATTCTAAATGGAGAGTTAAAACTCGAAACAAAGATAAAGCGTGATGGCTGGCATTTTGTGCATTACTGGAGCTGGTTCAGCTGGACTGTGCAGGCAGCAGGATTTGTGTACTGTTCTCACTAAATTCAGTCCATTTTTGTCAGGAGAAGAAAATAACCCACTAAACTAAAAGCACTATTGAAAGCCAAGGTAAAGCTTACTCAGTTAATACAAATTTTGGGTCTTTAACTTTTCCCTTCTTCAGTTCTTTAGCATGGGTTTTCGGAAATATCTGAGGCAGGCTGTAGGACAGGGAAAAAGCATTGCTGCTGCTGTGGTAAATCGGCCCCGGCGTATGCAGGGGTCTGGGGAAGGCAGAAGCCTCCCTTCTCCTTCACAGTGTCCGGACACGTGGGGACCCCCTGCACGCACCTGCAGGCGTGGATGGGAATGCTGTTAAGGACTGGGATCTTGCCCTTTGTGAAGTCCAAAAATTGAGAGCTTTTTCAAAAAACTGGAGGGTTACACTGGAGGCTCAGTCTTTTCATTCCTTTTCTCAGAAGCTGTGTCCCTTGATTGAGGTACCGGCTCCTCGGGCCGAACCCCCAGTGCGGTGAGCCCTTCCCGGGAAAGGCGCTGGGAGTCTGCTGCAGGCCACATCTGCAAAAACCCCTGTTCTGTCCAGAACCCCTTTGGAGCGATTTGGGCAGGCAGTGACAAAGATGGCAAGCGCTGCAACGGCCGGCGGTGCCTGCAAAGCCACCGAAACATTGAAACGTGCTGGTGCTCATTTGTGGGAACGCTCTGGGGAGCCGTACCAGCAATTTCATCTCTGCTGTTGGGAGCTGGACCTCGCAGTTCTTAACAATTAGACCACCAAAAGTTATTTATCCCTTGCAGACTTCTTTCCTGGTCACGATTTCTGGGTATAGTCCCCACTAGCAGAAGCTCAGAGTTCTGTTATGAAAAGTTGGTACCTTCTCTGTAAAGCCTCTTCTCGGTGGACAGGGCACTCGGTCCCGGTGTCGGTGGCAGGTTCTGTGTGGGAGGTGGCTCTGTCACCCGTGTGCCCCTCTTTGGCAGCTGGTTTGTGCTCGTGGGACGCAGACCCCTCTGCTCCAAGACCCGTGTCCTTGTGCTGGGGGAAGCGCTGCTGCAGCTGTCACGGGGAAACAGATGTTGATCTTAATGCAGAAAGCTGCTTAGCTCTGGCAGGTATTTATAGATATGAAATCATAAAGCAGCCCATGGGTTAAAGAGCTTATTTGGGGACTTGGACTCAGAGCTAAATCAAGTCCTGTAAAATACAGTTTACAAGTTACAAAATCCCTCTCATCCTGCAGGGAGGCAGTGTCTGGAGTATTTGTTTAGGCTGAGTTTTTTCTCTTTTTTTTAAAAAAGGAAATACTGCATTTCAGCCATTCAGGAAAAGAGGTATTCAGATGTTCTAGCTTGAAGCTATTGCTCCATTTAAAGATGGGGCTCAGAGAAAGGGAAAGATTTCAGGGCAGCTATTTGCGATTTTTGGAAGAGCAAGTTTCCTAATGCTGGTTACCAGCCTGAGTCCTCGTGCTTTTACCACCTCACCTACTCCGAACCCTTTGGCTTCATCCTTTCAGTTACTGGAAGCCTCAGAACTGCTCCAGAGCTGTGATTTCCCTCTGCACTGGGGGATCCTCCTCTTGCTAGGTATGCTGGTTTTGCGCTCCCCTGAGGGTCAGTGTCCGTGCTTTCGTGAGTCAAAAGCAAAGCGTGTTAAAAGCAGTTGATAAAACTGAAATGAATAGGAGCTTTGACTTAATTCCTGACAGATAAGGCATCATAAATTGTTAATGTTTAGCTCACTAGGTGCAATATCTCAAACCTGTTCAGGAATGGCTCTTCTGAATTGATCAGAGAGGCGAGGGAAAGGAAAGCCTCTTCCTTGTTCGAGGGGGTGAGTGACCCCAGGGAATTAAAATAGGCAGTAGTGAACAGGAGTGTATGGTGGCTGGCTCACTTGAAAGTCAAACAGTGTAAATAAAGCTACCAGGAGAACAGAGGAGGGTGGCCGAGTAGTAGGAAGTAAGGAAAACGGAAAGGTTTTTTTTTATTGCTAGCACTTAATTGTGGGTGCTGTTAGCTGCATCTTTCAGACATGTGAA